CGGAAGAAATACCCCCCAAGCCTACGCTTACCTATGCCCAGCTGATATATCGAGCTATCAAGGCATATAATGGCAAAGCGACGTTACAGGAGATTTGTGCATGGATAGCAAAGGAGTATGATTATTATCGCTACACAGACGGAACAGCCTGGATGGTGAGATTACTAATTTAGAAATAGGATTACTACCTGATCCCTCATTCATAGAGCTCCGTACGTCATAATTTATCATCTGGCCGAGCATTCAAGAAAATGGAGAGGTGTGGAGGCGACAGGGGAAAAGGCTTCTTCTGGTCGCTCGATGAAGCACATCAACATACACTAGAGGAACAAGATTCCAAACTCCAATCGGGCGCTATAGATATCACATCGAAGCGCAAGAAGGACAAGGCTTCGGAACCTCCCCTTAAGCGAAGCGTAAAGGGTGACGCCAAAGGCATACTTCCACCTCCTCTAACCTCTACGCCTCTTTCGATGCAACCCTCACCCAGTTCATCAGGAGCGACTACTACGCCGGCGTCTCATACCACGTTTAATGCCACCTCTACTGCCCAGATAACATCTAATGCGTCAGCTTATACCCCACGTTCTTCAATGGTCTCGACCCCTGTCACGGCATCTTTTTCTGGTGCCGCAACAAATCCTTATTCGACTTTAACACAGCCATGGTCTATACATGCAAAACCCAACATCAATGTTCCCACATCTACGACTTCACTATTAAGGGCACCTTCGGCCCCGGCGATAACGACCTTCAATATACCCACTGCACCAACATCCAGTCAAACTATTGTGCCAGTAACATCTACATCTACGTTAGTAACCGTGCCTGCATCTTTATCAAAATCCCTAACACCTGCATCGTCATCTCCTTCGACCTCTACTATCTCAGCCATCAAAGCAGCAACACCTTCAGTTCCCGATATCGCTATCCCAATTATTCTAGGACCTGTTCCTCCTACTCATCCCAGTTACTCTGTCACGCATCCCAATAATTCTGCTAAAGAAGGTTACATGATCCTTCACGAACGGAAGTTGATCCTTGACCCGGACGTTTTCTCGAGTTTGACAAAAGAAATGCTTGTCGAACTAGAGAAGATGGGTGCAAGCAAGGCTATCGAAATCTTGACAGGTCACCTGGTTAGGGTGTTGAAGGAACGGAGGAAGAACAGGAAGAGCGCGAGAGGAAGAGGCAGGGGAGGAAAAGGCGCTGGTGGACCTAGTCGAAAGGCTGCTACAACTGGCGCTGCAGCAGATTCCTCTCTGTCCGTGCCTGCAGCCTCATCTTCCCAACAGTCAAACAAATGGACTTCTCCCGTCTCTGCTGCTTCGATGGTTGTGGAACCGTCGCTCCCTCCCAATCCCGATCCTTTGATTCCCGTACCAATCATTCAGGCACCAATGGGAGATGCAGGCTCTCCTATCGTGATCGTGGATTCTGACGACGACGGACCTGCTACAAAGAAGAGAAAAGTTGACGAAGGACCATTCACATCTTTTGTAGAACTCACGGTCCCGAAGCCCGTTATCCCCACACTGGCTGCAATCCAACCTCAAGCTTAGAGGCTACCCAATTCATCGCTTATCGTTCTATGTTTTCACGTTATCATGAATACGACACAGTATAATGTTGCTAAGTTATCCGTTCGATCCCGTTGGTTTACTCGTACCATGTCTCTAATTCCGCATCTGTGATTTCAACCGCAGTTCATCACATCCTGTACTTTTACTTACCTTACAAGCCATATACACCTCTTCATGGCTTCGTCAGGATTACATGTTTTCCCTCTTCTCGTTTTTGGGTTGCATTTGCTGTCCGTTTGGAGCCGGCACGTCCTTACTAGCTTACTATGTTTCGGTGCATTTTTTGTTCTGTCTTTGCAGATAGATTGTTCTGTGAGATACGTAAATAGACGCAATTGTACTACCAATTCATACATTTTCTTGCGATGCTTCGTGGCTACAGAGTGTGTACTACTAGAAGATTGTGTGAACCACGACACCGTTTCATGTATCAAGCACGGTGGGCTTTGCAAGTCTCATGCCAAATTTAATCTCGTTCGCAGCTTTGCTTCTGAATCTTTGTGACATCCTGAAGAGTACTGAAAAAATGGCCAAAATGTTTCGGAAAATAAAGGCCGAACCCCCAATAGTACTATGTATATGCTTTCTAGATTTTTGGCTTATTGTACAAGATGGGATTCATGATAATTGCGGAAGAAACAGGTAGAAACAAACAAAGTCAGCAGAAGGACCGCGAGATGCGCCGGTCACCCGACACCGTTGCTTCAACTGTGCGGATTAACCAGATTGTATTCCGCCACAAAATACTCGATAAGGAGAAATGCCTTGCATTTTAATCCTAGTTGAAACATCTTCTCGTACCCCGTCCGATGTTTCCTCATCCTGCGTAGCAATACCCCAACGAAGGATTGCCAGCACCAAGTATTTCTCTTGTCCTCTCCTCAATGTCAACAAGAATGTTCATCAGCTTCAAGCCGTCAGTGGGTTCTGAATATTGATCTTCGATTGTTCTATTGAAGTAGAGATACCTTTGGATGTTGTTGACCCAAATATTGGCGAGGTATTCGTTGAGAGACTTCCTAGAGCGTTTCTCTGCTCGAGGATGTTTCTCAGCATTTCGTTCCGATGCCGATGGGGTCATATAGTCCACCTTCTGCTTCCGCTTGACTCCCTTCGTCTTGTCTATAGATTCCTCCTTCGTCGCTTTCTCCGTCTTGACCATTTTCTCTTCCTTCGCAACCGTTTCCTTCTTGACCGCTTGCCCTTCCTTCGCCGCTTTCTCTGTGTTCATAGCGGAACCGCAAGTCACATGAAGAGTTGAAGAATAAATCGCCTTGCGCTCACGTTCGGGAAAATCGTCCTCCGAAATGGTTTGAAAATGGAATGCTGCTTGTCCACACGATGAGTGTGCACCAGCTTCGCGAGACTTCAAGTGCAAAACGGATACAATTCGGTCTCGACATTCATGGCAAGGAGGAAGTGTATTCCTTGGTGTAGGTAAACAATCATCCTCATAGTATTTTCCGTCTTTGACGTATAATCCTGGCGGTGTTGCCAATCTTGAGTACGAAGGGACCTGCGGAACAGAATCCATATGCAGCCGTGTTTTATAAACGAGGATCTTGGTTATGGTTCGATGTCCATCGGCTCGATCGACTTCAACGAGGCGAGATGATGTCCCCGAGAACGCAGATGCATCAAGATGCGAGTGCGCTTTGATACCGTCTAAGCCCGGGGAACATTGACGGAGGGTATCGTGGACGGAAGAGTGGACGGAAGAAATGAATCCGTATTCTCCAATAAGATTGCTGCTGTGCTTCCCAGTATCAACAGAAGGCTCTGTTCCAGGCGAATCCCAAAAACCCTGTCACCCAGTGAAAAATCATCTGAAGTACTGATTATGCCAGGATTGGTCCTAAATATGAGGAATATGTAAGCTTGGGGCTAACCCTAACAGAACAGATGAGGCAGGGGGGACAAGGGAAATCAAGGGTCTTGTGATTGGCAAACTGAATGCAGATATAGGAAGTGGGCATTGATCGTAAACGGATAAAAGTCTTCCTTGGTAAACTGAGAAGGGCTCCGATAGTGGTCAGAGCAATCGGAGGAGTTTCGAAGATTACTTTGACCGATGGGGAGAGTTTCGGGAAAATGACCTCAACATTGATTTTGATCATCGTAGACGTGGTGTTCAAGGGTGTGACATTGGTTGGGGATGCAGGTGAGGACTGTGTCAGTGTTTTGAGTACCATAAAATGGTGGTGTCGACGAAGAAGCTACCTCTGGCATTATAGCAGAAATATCAGACACTGGTGTACTCAATAAGGCATTATTCAATGCAGATTTTGAAGTATTGCTACTCAGGTTATCTGCGAAGACTTCAACATTCTGAGAAAAGGGCCAGGGGGCTTGAGGTTTTCCATAGAGGTTGTCCTTTTTTTGAATCAGGGGTAGAAGGTTGGATCGAAGAGAGCAATCATCTTTGTAGGACCCCGCACTTCTTTCTATTGATTGAGAAAAGGTAGATTATGTTTCCATGTGTCTACCCTCTGAGCAAAGACTCGGGAGTCGGAGTCCTGAGAAGGTGTCGAGGAGAGCTTGACTAAGAAAGGGTACGCGAGATATCCAACGGTTCAAATGAAATCTGGGTGGCCGCAGGCGGTTCTCGAAGCAATGCCGGTGTTGTTGAACGTGTTCGCAAGATGTTATTAAAGACCGGTGTATGCGAAGTGGTTTGCAGTGGCGATGATAAATCTTTCATTTACACTAACTCCTAATTTCAACCATCTGACGGGGAAAGAACGTCAGCAACCACAAGGGGAAGAACAATGGAAAGCTGCACATGAGTCGCAAATGATTTTATTGGGTAGCTTCGAATCCCGAGATTCAAGAAATCAACCTACTTGCGATAAGTAGTTGACCTGAAGACCTGAAATAGCGAGACACTCTGATCCTGCACTCGTGTAGCGGTAGTTGAACAAGTTCAAGGATAGATTCACGACGCCGACCTTTATACCCGCGCTCTCCTCCATACATTTTTAATATTCTTTGTTTCTCCAAGCATCCTTTGTTTCACGCCTTGTTTGTTTCACGCCTTGAGCTGATCGTGAAAGGGGCTTCTAAGATAATTCTATACATAAGGTGCTCGCCTGCATAACCGTTCATTTCTTTCCTACTTGTTCCTGAAAATTGGCGACTGCTTACATTTGAGCCTTGACAGAGAACTAAAACTCAGAATGTTGGTACACGGTACTAGGTGAAGATTTCATGATCGTCCAGCAGAAAAGCACAGCCTTGAGCATCAAAACCAAGATGGCAATTCAAGTCCGACGCACTACATAGGATGCACAGTGTCTGGTCTTGTCTTTTGTGAGGCGGGGGTTGGAATAGTCTTTGTTGAGTGGGACAGGCGGGACGAGCTTCGGCGTAAGCGAATGATCTAGTGTTCACAATAGGGGCATAATAGAATTTTAATGTGCCCGCCTAGCTCAATCGGATAGAGCGTCAGACTCTTACGGCGGAGCATCCGGATCTGAAGGCTGCGAGTTCGACCCTCGCGGTGGGCTATTTGAAGAAACTTATTTTGTTTTGTTGAATAACAATTTGTAGAGGTGCTTACTTTTGCAGAAGTACATAAGCAGAAGTACACAATTTTATCTCGTCATGGCTCATATAGTGTAATGCATGATAATGTAAGTACATGGGGTTGAAGATTACGGAGCGTCTTTGGTATGGTAGGCAATCAAATCGACGCGCTTTCAACATTTAACATAGCTTATATCCGCGATCCAATGTTCGCACTCTCCGAAACTCGAGACGTTGCAAAGTTGCATCCCTAACAAGCGCAGATGTCCAAAAGTTACGTGGTTGGGACCCAAACGTACTGCACCATGTTCAGATAAGTTGTACGCTGTATGATATTCCTAGACGGACAGAGCAATTTATCAGCGCACAGAAGGAGGGACGAAAGCCTCGAAATATACCAACATGTATGAAAAGACGGTAGATATCTACAATATCACGAGCTACTTCCATGAGGGTTCGAGGACTGCCAGCCGCAGTATAGAAAAACAATGGTTTGCTGATCTGCAGATAATTGTAGCCCGGCCACTTTCATAGTCCGAGATGAGTTCGAGTGAGATACGAAGAGAAAGGAGCACTTACATTGATGTTAAGCTGAACGAAGGGCTGTCTTGGAATCCAATCACTCGGAAGAAAGCTGGTGATTGTGCTCGAGGGATAGGCTAAATCTTGACAAATTTCGAGTTCTGTCATAGCGACACCAGCCTGAACCTTTCCAGCGGAGCCAAACGGTATAACAGGATTGCTTCCATAACTATGGCGAGGTATCAGGGCGTGAGCCTGGCCGGCATGCCACCAATCCGACTTCACCAGAGAAGCAGTGTAGTCGATCGCGTTTCGCCGACCAAACCTCGACGGGATAGGCGCAGTTCTGCTGGTTAGGGCGGAAATGTCTACAGCATTGCGACGCGGCCTTGACATAGATTCTGGCGTCGGGCCCACTGAAGGTAAATACTGTTGCATTCTGGGGGTTTGAAAGGCAAGAAATGATTTGAAGGCGACTCAGAATTCGTCGGAAACCGTAAGTTATGCCTCAACCAGATTGCTGCGGCCTTTTATACGAATCGAGATGGCCCAACGGGGGGCATAATGAGTGAACTACATGCCACAGATGGACAATGCCTTTGACTATGAGAAATCGCCAAACAGTAGAATGAATTTGATAGACAAAATGAAAATGAAAGAGAGGCCCAAGAGTGATCGTGAACCTTTTCTCACGCCTTTGACTTTCCAAAATCGTGTCTTTTCAACTTGACTAAGGGCTCAGAGCCCCGGTTCTCAATGGACACGGAGCTCAAATGCAATCGCCTCACTTGTAGGAAACCTTTGACAGACAAAGCGGTCGTCGTAAGTCTCTTCCGTCAGCTTTTTCGTATCGAATGTGTGTTCAATCAGTGTCAAAGACAACCTGTAAGTTGCTCCTAGTAGCTGTGATACGAAGATATACGTTAAAGCACAACTGGAAAAGGCTCCCATATCTTCTGTGGTGCGTCGCTATGCTGCATATATGATAGTATCGGATACTAATGCATCTAAACAGTCGATTGTGCGAACGAGCTTTTCAATGCGGCGCGTTTATGCCCAGGTAATGATTTCTAGGGTGTGAATATACACATCTTCATTGTTAACGTTTTTCGTGATAGCTTGTGAATCTTCGTTATCCGAACCGTATGTTTTATAGCTTCACGGAACACTGTTACCTGATGTGACATTCGCTCAGAGACGATGTGGTTGTAGGTTCGAAAATTTATTGGATGACATTACACTGACGCCTTACATGCTAGGTATGCTCGCTGCATCCTTCAAATGACTACAAAACTGTGAGCTGATGCGCATATAATCATACTTTTCAGCTTTACACATGACTAGTCCGTTCTTTCAGGCTTGACTCCTTCGATTATATTAGAGATATGCAGTCGGTGTGTGTTGGAATCTGAATCCTGGCTCAACTTTCGCTGCCTATCATTAAATGTTACCCATATTCCAGAGCGATCGCCTTCTGGCAATACCAGATACACCAAGAAAAGTAACTTATATCATACATCTACCTTGAATCAGCATCTCACTGGCCATTTTGATTGTCAGCTCCTTCCAACAAGCTGTGCTTCGTAATCTCAACGACAAGAACTCTCAACTTCAAAAACAGCTGGATAACGTTGTCCGAGAAGGTGATTTGCTAGTTTTGCAAAGTTCATGCAATGCTGATCAGGGCGTTCAACACGTCGCTAGCCAACGGGGAAATAGCTCTGCTAAATAACAAGGCCACAGGTACATTGATTGTTTTCTTCAAAATACGCCTCTATTAGACCTTCAATTATAGACCTTGAGCGAGACCTCGAGGTGGAACGCAGAAAGGTCCGCGACTTGCAAGAAGCCACGCGAGAACGCGAAAAAGAATACCAAAAACTCAAGGTCCAGCGTTTCTGGTGGCTTATGTAGAATTCAGGACTTACTCAAATTTGCAGGCTCAACACGATAAGATCAAACGCAAGGCACTCCTTGGCCCTAACTTCACTGCGAATGAACCTTCATTGAATGCACCCACCAATCATACTACGGAGGACCAATGGGGTGGAATACGAAGTTTCGGAAATAACGTAGGAAATAATGTCGACTTCGGGGCTGTAGTAGGTGGGATGGAAGCAAACGGTGTATGTTATCAATCAGTTCTTTCTTTGTTTTTCGTCCGACATTGAATGTCAGATACAACGCACTCCCATCGTCAATCGTGCGAGCAGCTTTCCAAACCGCCTAGGAACGACAGATGGATGGAGTCAGAATCCTTCTAATGCGCTCAATCAACGTCAACGTGTTAACCGCGTTGGTGGAACCCATCGTCAACCTCTCACATATTCCGGTGGATACATCTCTGATCGTTCGGAAAGCGCAAACGAAGTCGAAAACTTGCTTTTAGGCGGCGGCGGCGGTCAACGGTCAGCGAGGGTTTCTACCTCAACTGGAGGTTGGAATTCTGGTCTCCAGGTCGCTGCCAATGTTCAACGAATTCGACCAATCCAAAGAGGTACGTAAGAACCTATCTTCAGTGCAAGGCGACTTAACGACTCCTTGTAGGTTTCGCACCTCCCAACAGCACAACCAAGCGGACTGCTGGGACTTTCAAGCCTGCTATCGCCAGGCAGTGACAATGATACCGGCTCTTTCACTGTTGACCCTTCCAGATGTATGTGTAACATTGTATCAGACATTGTGTATTAGAATGCGTAAAAATTCTTGATGTGGTAGGTAAGAATAATAGGTCAATGTAGCAACTTGTAACCTGAGCATAGAAATCATAAATAAATATACAAAGTATAATAGCAGGCATATGTGATGTTATAGACTGTGAACTTTAGAACGAAACAATGGGATTTCAAGATGCAAATGGCTAGGGAATACGGGCTTCAGTGAAGATAGAACAAAGTATCTAAAGCGAAAGAACGACGTGCGATCAAGAAGCTGGACGACAGATCCAGAGTTTGCAAAATTTAGATGGAGGATAAGAACATAATGATATCAGGATAGATGGAAGGCATGGTTAGAGAGGGTTAAAGATAAAATGCGTGGTTGTTGACCTTTTGCATACATGATTTCTGATACAATTTCCTTACTGCGCAGCTCAAGTGACTCAATCCCTTCTAAGGCGCCCATTCTTTTCATCTTCCAGATAATGTCCAATTGCCAGGATATCTTGTCCTGACCTCCTCAAGTATCCCGCCAACACAGTCCGATCCGCATGCGGCATCAAGTCGGAGAGTCTGTCAACCTGATGTCGAAATTCTGGGTCCCATGAAGATTCCGGCGGAGTGGGAGACCCATACAGGGCTTTCGAGGGTTGTTTCGACGGCGACGACGATTGAGACCGTGGTCCACCTCGAACAGTGGGATTGCTCAAATGTCCACTGTGAGAGGTTGTGTGGTGCACACTATCGGCCGAAGGAATATTGAATAGTGACGGTCTCCTACCCATTGCATTTGCTCTTCCGGCTGAGCTAGAACTAGAGCTATCCGAAGGCATAGGTGATATCATGATTGTCTGAGATCGAAGCATCCTATTGGGTGGTGCTCTAGGGCCTCCGGGAATAGAAGGTAGTCCTGCTGTAACCGTGACAGGAGGATGGCTGTTCTGGGACATGTGCTTATGTGACTGTTTGTTTAATCGTGCGGACGACGACGCTAAACCTTGGCCTGCTGCACCAAGACCCTTATCTTTTCTGCTAACGCTCGCTTTGCGACCTAAAGATGCGAAAAATGCCCCGGTCTTGCTTGTTGATGCTAATGGCATCAGCGATTTGTATCCTTTTGCTGGTGAATCACTTCCACTGATACTCCCTACAGACGAGTTTGATCGACCAGGATATTTCTGGTTTGCCGATGCGAGTGATGGATAGGGCAGAGTGGGTGGACCTGTTGGAGGGCTCATGGATAATGCATCCTTGAAGGTCATGGATAGATCCGTAGCAGCAGAGGCATCTGGCCGTCGTGGAAAGGTAGCTTCAGTTGTAATGGACGTATACGAGGAACGAGAGGTTTGTCGGGGTTGGGAGGTAAATGGAACCGTGGAAGGTGACGCAGCGTGAAAGCTGGTAGAGACGGGCGATGTTGGAGTTGCTTGCGTGAGTGATATCGCGGCTCCACGATGTGTGGATCCTGAACCTGAAGGTAATTTTGGGAAAAAATAAACAACAGCAAGAAAAAAATGCTCAAGTCAGAAACATACCTCCACGACGCATGTTCTCCATCCACTCTTCCAATCCACAATCGAACATCCATAATTCATTGATCTTCTGAGCGTAAAGCACACATCGTTCGCTCGCATTACGTTTTGCTGTCATTTCAGAACAAAACAAAGCCGCAGGGTTTGGATCAATCTTCCGCTTGAAACTTATTGGCTGTAGGGGAGTGATATACGGACGAGAGACTTTTTGCAAGGATTGCATGTTTCTTAGAGGAACAGATGGCCGGAAATTGACAAACTGAGCTTGAG